GGGGGGTCCCGGGGGGTCACTCCCCCCCTCCCTGCATCTGTTTGCAGAACGAGTCAAACTGCTGCTGCTCCAGCTCCGTCATCACCCGGTTCAGGGCGTAGATCTGGGATTGGGAAAGGGAGGCATGGAAAAGGAGGGATGGAAAAGGGGGGCCTGGCCCCGGTTGGGCTGCTTTTCCTGCCCCCCACTCCCAGTCCCACCCCCCAATTCCCAGTCCCACCTCCCCCCATTTCCCAGTCCCATTCCCAGTCCATCTCCTCATTCCTGGTCCCATTCCCAGTCTCTCTTGCCATTCCTGATTCTCCCCTTCATTCCCAGGTTCCCCTCCCCATTCCCAGGTTCCCACACCCCCCATTTCCAGGATCCCACCCCCAGAATCCCAGTCCCTCTCCCCATTACTGCTACCACCCAATTCCCAGTCCCATCTCCCCTGTTCTTGGTCCCACTTCTCCCATTCCTGGTCCCATTCCCAGTCCCTCTCCTCACTCCCACTCTCTCTCCCCTTTTCGTCCCCCCCCCCCCCAAATCCTCCCCCCCCCCATTCCCGGGATCCCTCCCCCTATTCCCAGTCCCTCCTCCCATTCCCGGTCCCATTCCCAGTCCCTCTCCTCATTCCCAGTCACTGTCTCCATTTCTGGTCCCACCCCCCCAACTGCTGTGCCCCCCATTCCCGGTCCCATTCTCAGTACAACCCCCCAATTCCCAGAATCCTTCCCCACTGCCGGTCCCAGTTCCCCCATTCCCGGTCCCTCTCCCATTCCCGGGGCCGTTCCCGGTCGCACCTCCGCCCTCTGGCGCTGTTTGAGCTCCTGCTGTGCCGATCTCTGCTTGGCCTTTTCCAGCCGCGCCGGCGCCTCCCGCGCCTTCGGCCGCTCCTTGCGCGCCCCCGCGCCCGGATCCATGGCTGGGATCCATGGGGGGGGGTCACACAGGGACCCCCGGGACCGGCCCGGCCCCCAGAGACCCCCAACCCAGCCCAGCCCTCAGGGACCCCCCGGGACCAGCCCAGACCCCAGGGAGGCCCCCCCCGCTCCCAGGGACCCCCCGAGCCCAGCCCAGCCCCAGA